ACATGTATACATATAATGTATACATGTATACATATAATGTATACATGTATACATATAATGTATACATGTATACATATAATGTATACATGTATACATATAATGTATACATGTATACATATAATGTATACATGTATACATATAATGTATACATGTATACATATAATGTATACATATAATGTATACATGTATATATGTATACATATAATGTATACATGTATACATATAATGTATACATATAATGTATACATGTATACATATAATGTATACATATAATGTATACATGTATATATGTATACATATAATGTATACATGTATATATGTATACATATAATGTATACATGTATATATGTATACATATAATGTATACATGTATATATGTATACATATAATGTATACATGTATATATGTATACATATAATGTATACATGTATAGATATGTGTAGATATTTACATATATGCATGCATACATATATACATGTATATGTATATACATATGTATATACATATACATGTATATATACATGTATTAATGTATGTGTACATGTATACATATATACATTATATATGTATACATATATACTTGTATATATGTATATATATACCTGTATATATATATGCACGTATACATATATATTTACATACATATATATTTGCATATATGTATACATGTATTTATACATTTTTAGATATGTATATGTATACATATATGTATATATACATGTATAAATACATTTATACATTAATACATTATACAAATACATATAAACACACATCTACATCTCTAAATATACATAAGTATGGACGAATATATAGATATATGTATGCATATATGTATATATGTACATTTATATATGTATATCAGTATATATATATATATATATATATATATATATATATATATATATATATATATATATATATATATATATATGCATGGTTATATTTATTGTATATATATGTACATATGTATATATATGTATATATGTATATATGTATATATATGCATATATGTATGTGTATACGTATATCTATACATGTGTATGTGTATATATGTATATTGTATGTATATATGTATATGTATGTATGTACATACATGTATACACACATACATATATATACATAGAAATATACATATATCTTGTATATATGTATATTTATGTGTGTATATGTATTTAAATATACAAGTATGCATATATGTATTTAAATATACATGTATGCATATATGTATATATATATATATGGTAGAAAAATCCACAATGTAAAAAACTAGATTTATTGAAGATGAGACAACATCTTCAGACCTGAAGATGGAATCCAGGTGGATTTCGTAACTGTTGTCTCATCTTCAATGAATCTAGTTTTTTTTACATTGTGGGTTTTTCTACCATAGTATCAACACGGTAGGGTGTTTTCATCATCCATGTATATATGTATATATTGTATATTTACATATTTACACACACACTCTCTCTCTCTCTCTCAATTAGGCACACACACACACACACACACACACACACACACACACACACACACACACACACACACACACACACACACACACACACGCACGCACACGCACGCACGCACACGCACGCGCGCGCACGCACACACGCGCGCACGCACGCACACACACACACACACACACACACACACACACACACACACACACACACACACACACACACACACACACACACACACACACACACACACGCACACACACACACACACACGCACACACGCACACACGCACGCACACACACGCACGCGCACACACACGCACGCGCACGCACGCACGCACGCGCGCGCACACACACACACACACACACACACACACACACACACACACACACACACACACACACACACACACACACACACACACACACACATGTATATGTATATATATTAAAATATATACATGTATATACATCTATATATAGCTATATATTTTTAGACACACACGCACACCCACACAAGAAATATATACACAATATGCCAAACAACGTCCCGTTTAGTTTGCGAGCTTGTTTGTGACAAATATCCAAAGACAAGGTCTATATTTCTGTAGACCTTCATCAAAAGATATTTGGCGATTTATAACGAGATAATAATCCCCCTTTCGTTCGTTGTAACGTCAACTTTACTTTTCTGTGGGACAAAGCACAGTCAGTGCTCTCTAGTCATTACAGGTAGACTATAATAAACGCAAAGCACGCAAACCCATATTTTAGGCGAGCAGAATGCCAGTATCCAGCTGTTCTGGATCATAACTTATAAAAATGACCATGTTCAGTAAACCGCCGCCACAGCCATGCCATGAATTGCTTTGCCTGCCCAAAGGCGTTGGAGTTGGAGTGAGCGATCTCTAGCTGCATAGGGAGAGAGGTATTGTCATTAGGGAATTATAATGGTCGCAATTCAACATTGTCTGCACTGTTACACTTAAAGTATTCGGAAAAGATTTGCTAGTTCAAAGGTTTCGAAGCGACGAGCAAGGCGTTTGATTTGCGATTGTTATACCATTTACGTATGCACGTCCATACTTCGCATATCTGACTTATCCATAATTTATCCTTGCTCTCGTTCACATTTTACGTAGCTCACGGATTTCAGCCAGCTATTGGGATTTGGGAATAATCCCCTTCGCCAGTTCGTTCTCGCCCGGAATTCAGTTTATTTCAGTGAGATTTACGAAGGCAGGAGCTTCGCCCGAGCCTGATGTATTTTAATATTTCGTATCATTGCTCTGTTATTTGGACTCGTAGCCGAAAGGGAGGGGACCGCATTTGTATAATGCATGATCATTTTTGCATCTTCAATATGTATATTTTGAGTTCTTATTCCTGTGTATACTCAGAGAAATAATAAAATAAAAACTTCAAAATTTGGTAACGGATCCGCTTACATGTGTAACATTTCGATAATAAACCGAACTCTTAGCATCCGGTACCTCTCCAAACAGTCTGGTCACTGGCGCCGAAGAGGATGCTCTCAGGGCGACTTTTCTCCCACTCACGTACACGCTCACACACCTACGCCCATGTCCACTCACGCGTGCACACGCACGCGCGCGCGCACACACACACACACACACACACACACACACACACACACACACACACACACACACACACACACACACACACACACACACACACACACACACACACGGCGCACACACGCTCACATGCACGCGCACACAGACGATATAGTTATAGTTATAATAACGATAACGATAATGGTGATGATAATTATAATAGATAGAATAGTTGTAATAGTTATGATAATAATAATGATAATAATAATAATAATAATAATAATAATAATAATATTACTTATTATTATATATTTTATTATATCATTATTATTATCATCGTATACATGATGTATATGATGTATAATCCCTCTCTCCCTATTTCGCATTGTTGGCTATTGTTATTTGTTATTAGTGTCATTGTTATTATTATTATTATTATTTTTATTTTCAATCTTACCATTCTTATCATCATTAATGATTTATTGGTACCATGGTTAGGAATTGAATTTAGATTGAATTTCTTCGAATATCGATTTTTTTTCTCATCGTCATGATTATTACCATCATAATCAACACTATTGATATCAATATCATTTATACAGTTTTATCTATAATTAATTTAGTTATTTTAATCGGAGAGTGCTCTTAGATTTTTTTTTTCTTGTAGCAGTTATGATATTACTATCGTCCTTTTTGATATTCTTCTTTTATCACATCAGTAATTTCCACTGCCCTCACTGGTTGACACTGGCAAGCCATGTCGTGTAAATGTGACTCGCTGATAATTTGTGTGACTACCAAGTAAACGGAGTGAGAACACCTGAGCTGATAGTTCTGTTACCCAGTGTGTGATTTAGACGCATGGATGGCATTTTGTTATTTAACCGTATTTATTTTTTTAAAGCATACCTTAAGTTACTATTTTTAGGGTAGAGGTGGTTGCGCCTTAGGACACACACATATCTCTACATCATCAGAAATCGTTGACAAAAGATTTGACTCGCGTGAAATCCCTGGCATATCGTAGCGACACAACTTATCTCGTTACTTCACCGCGTCCGGTGTTTGCCTCCTTGTCTCCTTCCATCGGTACGTGACTGTGACCTTTAGTTCTCCTTTCCTGAGCCGACCGCTTCTGAAAGTCCCCTTCGTCTAAGTATACAGATTGCTGTTAACTCAAGTTGTCTCCCTTTCATTTGCGTGAAAACTGCAGGAGTACATGGGTAGGATTTCACGCACTGTTTCATTCCTGGTTATGTTTCAGTTCTTTCACTATTGCACTTGGAATTCATCGCAAGTTGTATGTCCCTGTCATTGCGTCTTTCATAGCAAGGCTGTGAAAGATTGGATATAACAAATACATCATCAGCCTATATCAGTAAGATTAGTACCTGCCCCTTCGTACATTAGTGATGACTCGTATTTATGAAGTCCCTGCTGACTCAAAAATAGAACGTTTTGTTTCGTATTCCATAATTTATATGATTTATAGGATTATGATTTACTGGAATGAACAATTTATGTATGTGAATGGAGCCACTGATTCCTCGAAAAAACTAAATTGTTTCGCATTTCATAATGATATGATTTCTAGGAATGAATAAATATTTGTCAATACATTAAAAAAAAAATCACCGACATGAGGACGCCCAAGGCGAAAGTAACTCCAAGACAGGGATACCTAGAAGGAAGTCTCGAATTTAGCACTTCTGTAGCCAATTGCTTGAAGATGCTATACGGTATCTCCGCCGTCGAAGTGCCATGTTAAGCATTCTGAATCAGTCCCCAATTTCATCAGTTTGATCGTTTCCCGTGGCTATTTACACTCCTAAATCTCTAGACTACTAGATATTAATTATTAGTGTCGTCTGCTGTTAAGAACCAAACTACATTTCGTTAAGTCTCGCGTTAGGTTTCTCTTTCCCAGTAACTTTCACCCTATATTCCCGATGCAACTTACCTTGGATGTCGATTTGCTTGCGCGGGTTGGGTTGAAAGACGAATTAACAGAAGTTTAAGTTTTATGTGAGAGAATTTTGACTCCTGGGTTTTGGAATACGGTCAGGCGCGTAGCGGGCTTTTCTATAAGCGACTGAAACTGGATCCTGCCAAGCCCCTGTGGAGGACAATTGTCTGCACATGTGCAGAAAAAATCCATATAAGAGAAATGGAATACGCTGGCTTGGGTTTCACACTTTGCCGATAGGCTTCAATTTTTTAGATGTTGGTATTCACTTATATCTGATTAACACTTCTTTGGTCAGAATCCATAACTACCAGAAAGAGATCGGAGCGTCTCGTTAAGTACTTCAGTCCCACAACGCTGACAGAGAGGGAGT